AAGGTAACTGTAAGCCTGATTCAACTGATCCACTCACAGTAAAAACTATGATCCTGTTGTAACAAGTGTTCTGCTTGGTACCAAGAAACCTACTGGTTATGATCTTATATCACGCAGCAATGATCAAAAGTAAAATTGTGTTGTATGTATGAATCATGCCACATTACCAACAAATGTGTGGAGTAATATATTGCAGAGTCTGTTGCTGTGGCAGTGAAGAAAGCTCATATATACAGTACTTCCTATGCTGATATGATGCTCAAAGAGGAGTATGCAGGCACCTTAACAAGCTTAAAGGATAATAATAGTGGACTGTCTAGAGCAGGGATGGCCAACACGTAGACCGTGGTCAACTGGTTGACCGCAAAGCTAAAGTTGAACAATTTGCTTTCACTTAAATTAATTAAATTAATGTTTAAAAATCTTAATTCGATAATTTATTCTTACAATAATAGACTGTCTGTGCAATGTACCCATATGTTTGTATTTATCCCGATGAACAATGCAAATGAATGTTAACTCATGTGCATATAAATGGCAATTTGCATCAAATGGTGCAAAATCATGTGTCAGACAGTAACATCTCATATTCATAGTCGCCCGCAGACTATATTTTACCGAAAAAGTAGCCCCTAAGGGATAAAAGTTTGGCCACACCCGGTCTAGAGCATCAGATGACGTAACTTTGTGCAACGTAGCAGAAAAAGTTCTGCATGCAAATTATAGTAATGCAATGTGAATTCAAGGAGATTCACTATTGAAATTATATACTGAAACTATGAGCATCATTTCTTCTCAATCCATTTTTATTTATTCAGCTCATTTATTTACTGCTACAGAATTTGAAGCAGAATCACATTATTGAGAATAAATCATGTGTGTCAGTTGTATTCTTCACAGCACAGTAGTAGTGCTGTAAGACAAATAAAAAATTGTTTTATGAGAATCAAAGCCAATGAAAAATAAACTCATGTATTTTCTTGTGTGGAGATTTCAGTAACATAAGCTATAATAGCAAGCTGTTTTTTTGTCAATTTGTCAGGATAGTTTGTTAATGCCAGTCACATTACTTTTTCTTAATTACCTGTTTTCTGCTCTTCCATGTACATTTTTGATTAAATAAATACACAATTTATTGCCAGAATATGCATAATTTTTATAATTTCTTTAGCAACATACCAATAGTTTTATCAAAATTGGTCTCTCTTAAAATACAGTTGAGTTTATTTTAAAGTTGAGAACAATACAACATGTATTAATGTTTCCAGCTACTATTTAAATTAAATTATACAAGGTCTGTTCAAAAAGTATCGGACCTTATTTTTTTCCGCGTAAACCAATGATGCGCGAGAGGCCTCCTTTGGTGGAGTTGTGGAGGGGACAGTCATGCACATCTCTGAATTTTTTCCCGCCTGCAGGAAGCGTCAGTCGTTGGCAATCGGCCTATGAGTGAGGTCATGTAGAGCGCTCTCGTCGGATTCCACTAAGCTGAAAAATGACTGAACAACGCGAGCAGCGGTATTACATCAAATTTTGCCAAAAACCTTGGCGATACCCTAGTGTAAATCATTCGCAAGATTCAGCAGGCTTTCGGGGACGATCCTCGAGG